AATCAATCAACCAATTAACTGTTTTCTTTTTCTTTACCATGACTACAAAATACGTAGCAATCATTTCCCAGCTAGCCAAATCGAATAAGAGCCTCTAATATAAAAGCCAGGGCGGAACTCGGAATAGTTTTAAATAATAATAGTATTCCACGACCTATATACATAGGTAATACATAAATAACAAAAAATAGAGCTCATATAAGGGAACATGAAACGCTGAATCAAGTGAATACATTGCATTACTACAATTTCATGTAGGATTTCGTGTTATTAATATGGATAGCAAACAGGAGTAGCTATAGTATAATAAAACCTGAAACTACAAAAAAATTATCATTTATTCGCCAAAACGTTGACAGCATAATAATTTTTCCATCAAAGCGGTTTAAGTCGTTTTTAAATGTTTAGATGACGATAAGAATCATTGAACAACGACAAAAGCTCCTGAAAATTACACTTGATAAGATCATTTTTGAAAGAATAAATCTCGCATGTTAATGAAGAATACGGTGTGTCAGAAATCAGTCTAAACAATCTCTGCCAAGAGGAAAATGTAAGTTTTGAAGTATATTTTGAATTTATCAAACAGGATAAATCTGAGAAAGAGAGAGACCATTGAAGGTCACATGGGTGATATAGATAAGAGTACAATTTGTGTAAAACATTTTATAAATAAATGTAATATACAAAAAGTTCTTTAGATAAGAAATACAACACTAGTTAATCTAAATAATTAAGAGAAAGTTTATTTTAGAGCAAAGAACACACTATGTTTTCTGCTCTGAACCAGCCGCATAGATCAAACTTCCTAATTCTAGCGTCAAAGACTCTAAAGCTTACCGTTAACCCACCAGGTGACATAAATAGTAATAACTTTTATTATTACAAGTATAAAAACATCAGATATGAATAAAAACGAGATTACAGGCGGAATAATAAAAGTTTTAAATTCTTTATTTTTAAAGTATTGATTCCAATTATCTCCGAAGTTATTGAGAATCTTAGATACATTTTTATAAACGTAAACAAAAGCTGACGAAGCTGTAATAACGAAATATTGAGCAAATAAAATTACGTTCTGGAGATATAAGTCGTTATTTTATTTACGTTTATAAAAATGTTTCGCGGGTCCGGCATGGCGAGGTGGTTAGGGCGCTGGACTCGAATCCCCGTCACACCAAACATGCTCGCCCTTTCAGCCGTGGGGGCGTTATTATGTTGCGGTCAATCCCACTATTCGTTG